GCTGAGAATTGAACCCAGTGCCTCACATGTGCTAGGCAAGTGCTCCACTACTGAGCCCTAGCCCTAACCCCATAAGATTTTATTCTTTTATGTAAATGTATACTTGTGTCTATTTTTTTTTGATATAGAAATTAAATCTCTAGGACTTTTTCCTAAGGAAGTAATCAGAGGTAGTTCCCAAGATCAAGCATGTTTAATAATGTTTCTTACACGATCATTAATCCGTCCAAATTGGAGATATCTTTAAAGATTAACAATTTCTCCTTCTCTCCCTCCTCCTCCCCCTCCTCCCCCTCCTCCCCACCTCCAGCCCCAATACTGGGGATTGAACCCACAGGTGCTTTACCACTGAGCTACATACAAAACCTTTTTTTTTTTTTTTTATTTTGAGATAGGGTCTTGCTAAATTTTTGCGGCTGACCTTGTGCAATCATCCTGCCTCAGAATCCAAGTATCTGTGATTAGATGTAGGTGCCCCTGCACCCACATATATTTGCTTTTGTTAGCAGGTAAATCTGTAAGATGGAGTATTACCCAGCCTTTAAATTACCATTCTTAAAAAGCATTTAAGGATAAAGAGAAAATTCATGTTATAAAACAACATAAATAAAGGTTTTCTAATTTTCTGAAACTGTTATTATCTCTATATATGTGCATAGAAAACGGAATGGAAAGGTAAGAATATAAATATTCAAAAAAAATTTAGTTGTAGATGGACACAATAGCTTTATTTATTTTTATGTGGTGCTGAGGATGGAACCCAGTGCCTCATGCATGCTAGGCGAGCACTCTACCACTGAGCCACAACCCCAGCCCCTGTCAAATTTCTTCAAAAATTAAGATCATATAGTAGTCATTCTCAATCCTTATTGCACATTAGACTTACCTAGGGGTGTTTTTCAAAAARTCTATTCCCCTTTGGTCTCCAGAAATTCTCAAATTGAGCTGGGGTGGTCCTTCCAACAGTAATTTTTAGAAGCTGCCCAGGTAATCCTAATGAATAATCAGGATTAAAAAACTACTATTATAGCCAGGCACTGTGGTGCATGCCTGTAATACCTGCAATTCAGGAGGCTGAAGCAGAAGAATGACAAGTTTAAGACCAGATTTGGCAATTTAGCAAGTCCCTGTCTCAAAACTTTAAAAAGTAGCTGGATGCCATGGCAAACACATGTAATCCCAGTGGCTGGGGAGGTTGAGGCAGGAGGATTTTGAGTTCAAGGTCAGCCTCAGCAACTTAGTGAGGCCCTAAGCAACTTTGAGAAACCCTGTCTCTAAACAAAATGTTAAAATGGCTGGGGATGTGGCTCAGTGGTTAAG